TTGCAGCAGATACACGGTAACAGAACAAAATATTTTCAAAAAAGTTATAAAACATCAACACCAGAGAACAACCAGTCTAGATTGTCCACCAATACAGATTTCATTGGAAGTAACAGCAAAATAGCCATGAAAATTATATGAATAGATCAGTGAAAATCTGTGAAAAAGGTAAACATGTCCTGCCCTACCGGTAACACATGCCACTCACACAATTTGCATGAACAGTAAGCGTTGTATGTTGCCTTCCATGCAAACCGGTATGTTAATTTGTAATTACGTCTGCCGTGTACAAGTGCAGAAGGGTGTTTGGAACACAGCATGGCTTCATAGCCACAATGTTGTTTTTATGCCATGAGTAAAGATATTTCTTGGTTATATCTAGATCATATTCATTTGTTGTTACTTTTGACTACATTTGACAGTCTAGTCAAACCAAAATGTACTCAAAAGCTCAAACAACTTAACTAAGGCAGGTAAACAAAGAGAGTTCATTTGGATCCCTGCCCACGTAGGAATCTTTGGAAATGCAAATGCAGATAAAGCAGCAAAATTATCCCTTAAACTCCCAGAAATAAGCTTAAACTTACCCAGCTCAAAATCAGAAAACAAAAGTGTCACTAAACAAAAAATCAACAAAAAATGGCAAAATATATACCAAAACTCAAATAGCCAAATCAGGAAAGTACTCAAAAACCCCTAACTAAACCAAAAATACTACATTCATCCCCCCAAAACCAGGCCCCACTAAACTAAATAATCACCGTAAAATAGCTAATCTACACACAACAGGAAACTGCCCACATTGCAAACAACAAGAAACACCAGAACACATACTCATTCACTGCACACACTACCAAACACACCGAACAACACTACAGACCACCCTAAATCTTCAAACTGCACTTACACTAGAATCAATCCTAAATACACAAAATAAATTAGAAAAATTCAAAGCCTTAGGCATATACCTAATTAAAACAGGACTAATTAGTCGCATTTAAACCCCAAATAAAATATTAAAACCAAAACTACCTAATCTAACAACCACCCAACACACACAGCTCCCTTCGTTCATTCTCCACCCACTCTTGGCATTCATTCCAAATCTCAAAATTTCAAAATTACTATATAAGCAACCCCTAAAGCCCCCCTCCTGGGTTGCACAAACTCCCTTTTCGGAAACACATTAAATGGCCTGGCCAGGCCCGTGTGCGACATGCGCTTGCAGTCGGAAAGCGCACGTTAAATCTCCAAACGCACGTTAAATCTCCAAAGTAAGTAAGTAAGTAAGTAAGTAAGTAAGTAAGTAAGTAAGTAAGTAAGTAAGTAAGTAAGTAAGTAAGTAAGTAAGTAAGTAAGTAAGTAAGTAAGTAAGTGTTTACACCGGGTCGGCTTGGACACTCGACCAGATGTGTCCTCCCAAGCTCGCTATCTTACTACTCGCCTTGAGAGACCTCTCTAAGTCGCTGCCGAGGGAGCTTGTCTTCATCCTGGAGCCCTTGCTGGCCTACCGGGTTGGGGACTACTCCCTCAAGACTTCCTACAGGACCAGCACTTCCACCCTCTCCATCCCCTTTGACTTAGGTCAAAGGAAGAGGCCTCTGGGCAAAGCTCCGGCTTAGCCCAAGCCTCAGGTGGAACCTACTCCAGCCCCAACCCTTCCTGCACCCCTCCTGCACCCCTCCCGGTGCAGAAGACCAGGCCACCTAGGAAGAAGAAGTCCCCTCCAGTCTCCGACATGGAGATAGAGGAGACCCTTCCTTCCATCCCCCCGCCCCCAGTAGCAGCGCTGGAACTCGCTCCCCTCGAATTCAGAGGGGAGGAGCCCTTCCGCTCGCCTGAGGGTACTGGCCATGGGAGGAGGAAGAGGAGAGACATCCCCTCTCCTGAACGAGCCTCCCGACCAACCACCACCATCACGTCAGCAGAGTCCCAGACCTCGACGCCAATTCTGAATTACTCCAGCGCTCAGACCACCGTACCAATGCCCCCTTCACTTAGCGAGGGTCAGACTCAGACCACCCCGGTCGAGGTCAAGGACAAGGACCTTAGAGCCGTGCTACTGGGAAAGGCGGAGGGAATCCTTAGATACTATAAGGCCCATCCCAACCTCGGCGCAGACTGCATTGAGACAGCCCACGACCAGCTGTTTCCCTCCTCCAAATCCGACAGAGCCCAACTTACCCTAATCCAGTATATGGGGAAGGAAAAGTTCGAGCATGATTTCTTCAGCTTCAAAGAACTCTCTCACCTTTTCATGGATTGCGATGTGAAGGCTAGCAAGCACTTCATCTCCCACTCCGCCGCCCTCCTTGCCAAGAACCTCTTCAAGACGCCAGACCCCAGGGAACAGGCTGACGCAAAGAGACTTCTGGGAGAAAATCGCCTATAGACACCATGCTCGCCAGCCGACGCCGTGCCTTACCCCGCCTTCCTCCAACCCATGCCCAATTTTCTCCATATTATTGTATATTCTTTTATCCCCCACTCCCACCCAGCCAAACCCCCAACCCCCCTTAGCTTTATTAGATTAGGTCTGTAAAATTTATATTTTTGGGGGTCGCACTTCTTTATTTATTCTTTACGCTTTTTTGTCCCAATAGTATAAGTGCAACCCTGTGTGCAACATACGCTATAGTGTAATTATTTCACGGGGAAAGCGCACATTAAATCTCCAATGATAGGTGGATAGATAGTGTCTACAGACTTGCTCTCACCTTCCTAGGAACATGCTCAGTCCCTGGGAAGTCTATGTATGCTCACCATTGTTATATATATTTGTTAGCTACTTATATATATGATGTTCATGTAAATAAATCTGTGTATATTGTACTAGTTGTCTCTTGTTCTACCTGGCTAAGCTACCCCTTTTAGTCAGAACATGATAACCGCTATCACGCAGAAGATGCAGACATCCAGATACTCTGAGCTTGCCTTGGAAGCTGTGGCAAGATCGTGGAGACATTCATCCTCCCTTATATATGACAACAGATGGGACAAGTTCGTCCAATGGAGAAGACGACAAGGGATTATAACTAATGCTATATCCATCCCTATAGTAGCAGATTTTCTACTACATCTATGTCAAGACAACAAATTATAACATGGGACGATAGAAGGTTACAGATCAGCCCTTCATTCTGTACCTCAACATGACGCATTATCAATTGGAAACCATCCCATTCTAAACAGACTAATAAGATCCTTTCTACTAGAAGATGTTCGAAACACCTCATATCTTCCCCATGTGGAATCTATCTGTGGTACTATCAGCATTGTTAACGGAACCTTATGAGCCTGTGGCTAAAGCTACCCTACACCAAAAAGCCAGGAAAGAGTCTTTCCTCCTAGGCATGGCATCCAACATGGGGAGGAACTGACACCAGCAGCATCAGAGGGTACACCCTTGATTATTCTGTCTATTAGATGTAGGATGGATTAGAAGCACTCTGAATATCAACTGTCTCCATTAGATCGGAAGTGACGTCATCTCCGGAAATGAGAACATAACCGGAAGTGACGTCAGCACTGGAAATAGCAGAAGAGGGTTCATCTAATCAGGAAATGACGTCTTTTGGCTGAAAGAGACCTAGAGAGACCTAGAAAAGGGGGAGTGACAACAGAACCGGAAGTGACGTCATCACCAATATTAGAGTTACAAATCCAAATTTATAAAGAAATGATGTCATTAAGCAGAAATAGATTAGAAATGACAACATTGTTACAATCAAGATCAGCAAATATAATGGTAACTCTAGTGAAAATATCACATATTTTGACTGATTCTTTACACATTTCTCATTTTCAAGTCCTCAGGGGGAATTCCAGAAGATATTATCTCAAGTAGGATGAGAATCAGTAAATAATGGTTTCCAGAGGAGGATTGCTGTCAATTACACTGGGAGTTACTAGAGGCAGATCCCACCGGGGTCCTTCTGGTATATTCTGGCAGAGATGTAATAGATGTAGAGATTTCGTAAGAGTTATCAAACAATAGTTATCATTGTTAATAATTGTAAGAATACTACCTCTATTACATCCCAAATACTCACTCCCACTTCCCCAATTCATCTACTTCTAGTAGTAGATGGGGGAAAAAAGTTGCCGCCATGGCTTCGGGAGTTACGGTACTACTTGGCGACAACTAGTTGTGTGTGTAATTGACAGTGAAGAGGACATCTGTTGAAAAGTTAGTGTTAGATTGAAGCCAAAATACAGGATATATGGCAGAGATGTAACAGAGGTAGTATTCTTAGAAATATTAACAATGATAACTATTCTTTGATATTTCTTTGCAGTGAACATAACACTTCACATTTCACTGCAATGAACATCATACTGTCTACTGTCATACAATAGTTACCTCCCCTTTAATTGTCTCCTTTTATTGTAAGTGTCTCGCCTATACACAAACTGTTGACATCCATTTTATGTTAGCTCTACATTGACAAGGCAAAATAATGACAGATGGTCATTTGTGATTTAATATCACTTCTTGCTGTTTGTTATTTTCTCGAACATGTTTCGATATAAACTGTAAATTTCTCATTTAACTCATCAATCGCAAAGCACCATTTTTGTTACTTGACCACCATGTATTCTTTTGCTTCCAACAGTGGTATTGTAGTTTTCAAGAATATTTTTTGCTAAAGTTGATTTTGTATATAATCATGTCTATATGTGTGATACAGACTTTTCGTGACCCTAAATATTTTTTGTTACTTTTGTTTATATTTTTTATGAGTTTGCAAACACGAAACTTCTTTTTTCTGTTCATGACACCTTTTCAGCAAACCGATAATCGTTTTGACTGTCTAGATTGATTGATGGACCAATTATTCGATCAATCACTAAGGCTGGTTAAAGGTCAGATGAAAATAACTGAAAGTGGTTTAGAATTTATTTTTTGACATATACCTGATGAAGTCTATATTTCTTTAATCCATTTCACCAGCTGAACAACAGTAGTCAAAGGGTTGGTTAATAAATGTGGTAGATAAGCAGGTTGGATACTTCATTGAACTGTATGTTTGTTGTAAAGATTCCGTCTCCAGTGAGGATCCATGAAGTGTACACCAGACTCTGCTGTCCTCCCTATATCTGCGCTGTAAAGTTATTGTACAGCAGGTGCCTGGTTTCCACTAGTCTTTGTCAGTTGAAGGAAGGATTATTGGAAATTGGACTGCACTGCAGGCTTGGCCTGATTCATTTTCTATAATGCTCATGCTTTCCTAGATCAATGTTTGAATGTCACATGTGTCTCCCCAGTGCCTCGGCATTGCAAGTTCATCAATGTCACGTTTCTGACATTCTGGACGTGCTCACAGCTGATCAAAGTTGCATCGTGTAAGAGTGCATTACTTCAGCACCATGTGTCTTTGATTGTGCAGCTCAACCTGAAACTAGTGATTTGGAGAAACGTCTAGCATGTCATCTGATGTAAGCTTTATAGTCACTCAAAGAACACCTGGTTTGCATCTTGCAGGAATGAATCACCTTCGTTGCTGGAGTTTGTGTCGGTTTGACAGCAGCAAAATTCACACTTGCATCTCAGCGGTGATACTTGTGAGTAGCCTGTGTCCATTTGGATGATAACAGTGTGACAGACATACACAGTGTTAGCTGGGCTCCAGCATGGATGGCTTATACAGGAGACTGTATCTGGTCATTGGTAAGATAAGGAGATGTGTAATCTAACCACCATTTAATTGATGTAAAAAGTGGACTAGATGCCATTAGGCAGGTGTATTTTACCTCATGTATATCAAAGTCCACATTATTTCTAGCCAACTGCAGGAGATGGGCTTTCTGAATATTGATTATCTGATTGGCAGCAGGCAGGATTTGCTGAGGGCAAGTTTTCTATGCCAGTAAAGTGCCTTTATAATGTTGCTTAGGGGCTCTGCCGACAAGGGAAAAACAGTCTTTCACTGACAATAGCGGGCCTTTCACATGGCAGTTAATGAAGCGGAGCCGAAGCTTGATGTTGTGACATGTGGCTAGGAGCAGCAGTCAGCCAGACTAGCTGGTCGCAACTGTCAAACTGCCCCATGGATTACCTCTAATCCAGTGCTAGATGAAACATGAGCTTACTAATTCCTCTGGATAAGCCTGTGACCAAACCAGTGGTACCTACCAGCAAATGTACTTGTTGACAACTAGTGAATACTGACCACCTGGAAATGTCTCAGGACAAGTTGCAAGTTATACATGAAGGTATGTGCTTACTATGCAACAAGGTGTTTGTGTACACAGTAAACCTGTCATGCTTGAGTGGGTCGAGTGTATGGTGGCTGGGTGAATGTTGTCACTACATTTGTACATGTATGTGGCCTGGCATAGGAAGAAACAGGTGCTTGAACATGATGTTCTACATTCTTATCAGGCTTATATCTAGTGGAATAATTGCCACTGAAAGTTGTTCTTTATCTGTCAAGATTAATAAAAATATTTCTTAGTTATGTTCCGTGCCCATAGTATGTTCATTCCAACTTACATCATGTACATTACTGCTCATGGCAGGATACTTGTATGTATAGTGAAGCTGATACAAATGTTTCATGTCGTGGGCACCGCTGATAGAAATCCCAGTCACATGTTCGTCTTTTTTATGTATTGCCCAACTGAATATGTTTTTATTCATGAAAGATTTCATTCAGTCTCTCATAATTTACTACAGTTATGGATTTGGTTAAAAACATAATGTTATATATTTACCATCGATGTACCAGAGTACCAATATAATTGGTTCTTCTTGTCAGTTTGCATAACATTATGATGTACTCATATAGGTCAAAGACACCCGAGAAGAAGCCACTGAATGGGTTTATTGATTGTGTGAGAGATATTGTCAACATATATTGATATACTCTTTCAGACAGACAATGTAACTCTGTAGCAACAGTTGCAGATGAGCCTAACAACTCCATGTGTAACCAGGTTTACGTAGTCTGATCCACATGGGTAGCATGACTTGTGTAATCTTGCTTGTCTGTATTAGGCTGTTCCAACTGTTTATAGTGCAGTCTGTCTCTGTCCTGTTTGCTCACCTCTTGTTATATACATCTTAAAATATATATTTTGCATAAGCTTGATCATGTTGATAATTCCGTTCGTTTGTAAATACCACTAAAGATGCTGACCATATGCAAATGAGCACGCCATTCTCAAGACAGTTGAACACTGAAGGCCTTAAGAATTCAAACACATACATACAGTCTACACCCACCTTTCCAAATACTTCAACGTCAGGCCCTCAGTTCTTGAAAAGAATATGTGTATTTCATCATCAGTCATTAAAGTGCACGTCTCATGGGTAGGTACAGCTTTGCACAATTGTATAAATTGTAACATCCTTAATGCAAATATTGTATAGATCGTAACATTCTTCATATATCATATTCAAAACATCAAAAGTACTCGTAAATAAGGTTAATGTGCACTTGGTCATGTCCATCAATTTCAAACACTTAATGGAAAATACGGTAAAGGCGGACACTTTTTATATAGATGCTCCATATATAGTTATGTTGGAGGTTTTCTGTTTGATTACCATGTCCACAACTTACTTCAATTTGATATGCTTTTGGGGGCAGGGATGGCCAAGTCGTCTAAGGCACTGCGATTTGCTGTGCAGTGTTGCGTCCCTTGGGCACGCCAGAAACCTGTGATTGTGGGTTCGAATCCCGGTTTGCCCCGATTATGTTTCTAGGTTTGTCAGCACCATACCCGTGCTCATCTGTTTCACCGAAGTGGTAATCGTCTGAGACCTGCATCACTTCAGGCTTTCCTCCCACATTTAGCTGACACGCTGTGATATAACTGGAATACTGTTGAAAGCGGTGTTAAACCCAACTCACTCACTCACTCAGTGATATGCCTTATTAGTAACAACATTGAAGGGGCTTTCAGTTGTCTACGAAGTTGAGGACTTCAGGTACACAGGTGGTAAATGGTTTCCAAACAGGATGTTAATGATGAAACCCTAATTACAGACATTAATCTTTTAATTATTCACAATGTCAAGATCAAAGGATGTTTCACACACTCAACAATGTATGCAATGTCATTTTTGTGGGACTAACAGAAATAGCAACACATCCTGACATTCAACTAGCTGCTAAGCATCACAAGATAGATTATGTAGATACATGCTCCATGTCAGACAATGAAAACAAGTGCAGCCTTGCACTGGTAGCTTTAGGCCACGCCCCCAAATAGGTTTGTTTTGGAAGCCAATCACGGAGTGGTTTCAGCACTTTCACTTGGACATTTACTTTGTACAAATCTTATGACTTTTCCTCCATCAGGAATTGACTTAATGCATGTAGGAAAATGGATATTCACAAAATCGCATTCAAAGTTTTCACAATACTTTCACTTTAAGTAGTCGCCTGTAAATGCTTTGGGGTATGGTCTGAATTTATCCACTGCTGCCAAACATTTCTTTTAGACCATGCAGCACTTGGGCATCTGTTATCACATTAAGTATATCTCCTTCAGTGACACGTGTCACCAGACTCTCAGCAGAAGTAGGTCATGGATACCTACTGCAATGAGAAGCATACTGGTATGCTTTATTTCCTTGTTACATTGGATTACACCTTGGGTATTCATTGTGTGGCCATGACACAGGAGTTAGTGCATGTATGTTTCATATTATATCGCTAGAGGCATGGGAGACTAGATATGGCAACCATATGTGATATCATTCAACCAGATGTTCATATAACTTTCTTTTTGAGGTAGCTGAAGACTTTCTGGACATTTTGGTTTAAGATTGTACTGTATTGGACTTGAGTTTCCTGAAAAATAAGTGCTGTCATTAGACTGAAAGTGAGGCTTTTAAATTCCTCATTATGTTAGCTGGAAGCAAGACAGTGTAATCTGCTTTTGCTTTAAACAATATACCAAAGTGCTATGCTTATTGTTATTATTTTAAAATATATGTTGTAAAAGCTGCACACAAAAAACACGATATTAGAATATATTATTCCTGGTAAAAAAAAAATAGTTTCAGATGCTATTCAGATACTTCCGATCATTGCACAAATATTCCTTGAAGTTATGTTAATGGGTATTTTGTAACTGGTAGATTGGGAGAAAACGTGTGTACAACTGATTGCTGTTTCCGGCTTAGTTTGAATATGATACAAATGCACACAGTAATTTTATTCTCTGGGGATGGGATGGTGATGATGATGATGATGATGGCAGCTTAAGATCAAGATATGGCAGTAAGTTCAGACAAAAAAGACGGGACAGATATTCAAATGTACGTCATTCAGATTCCTTTAGATTTTGGTTTGGTTTGGTTTGGTTTGTTGTTTAACGCCGCACTCAGCAATATTCCAGCTATATGACGGCGGTCTGTAAATAATCGAGTCTGGACCAGACAATCCAGTGATTGATATCATGAAATCGATCCACGCAATTGGGATCGATGACATGCATCAACCAAGTCACTTTAGTAATTCACACAGAATGTACATAGGTGTTTTGTATTCAGTAATAAAGATCTATACAAAAACACTCACTTGATTTATTATTTCAACATTGTAGTTTGTTCAACTGTAGGTTCATAAGTATGATAAGTTCAAACAAAAAAATGTTTACACAGAAGGCAGTCAGATGCATTTCATGTGCAACCTACTCTTGTATGCATCAGCTCAAGTGTGAAACAAAGTGGGAAAACTTACAACAACTTTGTGAAATACCTCTGCTGATGTCACTTGCCAGGCTGGGGGATAGGGTCGGTGTGAGAGTGGATATCGGTTTACAACCACTATTCAGTGATAGATTCAGAAGGCTCTGACTTAGCAATGTGCAGGATATGTAGAGGATGTTTGGCTGGTCTTATAAACCAACCAGCTAATGTCAGGATTGTCACCTGGACAGCTCTCCAGGATAGGGTCTACATGTAAAGTGGATCTGGGCGCATTTAGTGTAAGGGTTAGCAGATGTCATAGTTTAAAACAATGAGGGATCTTCAGTGGACCTTTATCCGGTGTTGCATCAAGAATGTGGTTTAGCTTAACTGAAACTCAAAGGACCTTATGTCATGCCCTGTTGGTCCAGCGTCCATTGTGTCTTCGCCTAACACACCAAAACGTCACATACTTGTGCTAGAGGTTTAGATCTGGTCCGAATAAGCACTTGATGGCCATAACTCAGCCATTGTTCCAAATATTACGAAATTTAGCACATGTGTAGTTAGCCAGGGGGCTCCACATATATTTTGACATTGATTTGCAGATTGAGAATCTGGATCAATAAATGTAGACTTAGCCTACACAAGAAATATAACCAATGAGAAACCAATCATGTTTTTATTATTCATGTTGAGGACATTCTGGTGAAATAGGATTCATATGTCAAGCAGAAAATAGATGGCTTGTCTAGTTACTGTTCTGGCAAGTACAAACAGGAAGCCCGTAAGCCTGACAGTTACTGCTCCACAAGGATTGAAGCTGTAAGTTCATGCTGCTACCTACATAGATGCTGTCAGATTAAATATGAAATGTGCTTTTCAACAAATGTCAATGATAACCTATTTCACCTGTATGTCACTTATGTCATCTGTGTCAGTGTATCCTTCTATCTGACCTGTATCTTACTTACCTGTGACAGTGTATCCTTCTGTCTGACCTGTATCTTACTTACCTGTGACAGTGTATCCTTCTGTCTGACCTGTATCTTACTTACCTGTGACAGTGTATCCTTCTATCTGACCTGTATCTTACTTACCTGTGACAGTGTATCCTTCTGTCTGACCTGTATCTTACTTACCTGTGACAGTGTGTCCTTCTATCTGACCTGTATCTTACTTACCTGTGACAGTGTATCCTTCTATCTGACCTGTATCTTACTTACCTGTGACAGTGTGTCCTTCTATCTGACCTGTATCTTACTTACCTGTGACAGTGTATCCTTCTATCTGACCTGTATCTTACTTACCTGTGACAGTGTATCCTTCTATCTGACCTGTATCTTACTTACCTGTGACAGTGTATCCTTCTATCTGACCTGTATCTTACTTACCTGTGACAGTGTATCCTTCTATCTGACCTGTATCTTACTTACCTGTGACAGTGTATCCTTCTATCTGACCTGTATCTTACTTACCTGTGACAGTGTATCCTTCTATCTGACCTGTATCTTACTTACCTGTGACAGTGTATCCTTCTGTCTGACCTGTATCTTACTTACCTGTGACA